ATTGAGTGCTGGACCACCCCAGTGCCTGGCCCTTTCATGTTCATGCTTGTTTAATCCTCAGTCAACCTGGGAGGTACATATTTTAGTTCCATTTGACAGATGATGAAATTGAGGCCAGAGAGGTTAAATGACTACCCTAGTGCCACACAGCTAACATGGAACAGAGCTGAACTTCCAATATAAGCCTAAGGTGATTTTTTTTTCTACTCTACGTTTACATGAAAAAAATATTATGAGGCAGGACAGAAGCAAGTGGGACTTAGGAGAGCAGCTGATCCTTATTCTCAAATAAGATGGCAGTGTCTACAGCCCCTGGCTGGCTCAATCAGTAGAGTATGGGACTCTTTATCTTGGGGTCATGAGTTCGAGTCCCATGTTGGGGGCAGAGTTTACTTAAATTTTTTTTAAAAAGCTGCCATTGTCTAAGAGGATCTGGGAAGAGTCGAGAAGAGGATTGCAATAAAGGCCAAGATCTGGTTTAAATTGCTAAATGAGCCCCTTAAATCTTCAAGTCCCAGCTGCCTTCTAAAAATTGAGGAAGCTGAAATAGATGGTCTCAAAATAAATTTATAAAATGGAACAGACAAAAGGAGTTGAGTAGTGAATGGCCCAGAATCCTAGAGGTCTAAACTCCTAAACTCCTTTCCCACTGCTCCACGGTCTGGCCATTCCCTTCCCTGAAGTTTGGGTAGAGAGCAGCTGCTGACAAGGGAACACTCAGGCACTTCAATGTGTCTGATTTGATGAGTCATTCAACAATGGCCTACATAATGCTAATAATGCATCAGAGCACTAATCATCAGTAGACTCTAAAACCCAAAACCCATTCCTTGATGGTAGAGTTTGTTTGCTAAAAAAAATTAAAATAAAATAAAAATAAATGAAAAGACATAGAGTAGATTACTCTAGTTCAGAGAGTCTAATGGAATTTGAGAACCCTTTTCTCCAGCTCTGACTTAAGATCTGTAATAAACTATTTAAGGTCTACTCTTCATGCTCTCATATAAAGCATTCACTTGCTCAGTTTCAGGTTCCAGTTCATCTCTGTCATCATATCTACCTTCTCTTTAAGCAACAAAAGAACTCGATTATAAATTTGGCTTCTTGGCTAGAGTTGAAGTAACCACCCATATTTAACCATTGTATTTTAATAAAACTGCTGCCTGGCCTGGATATGATGGGGCTTAGGCAGAAGAGGATAGTCCCTAATTGGTGGAAATACAACTTGGAGTCACAAATATGAGTTATATGAATTTGTTCTATTTTTTCATGCCAGTATGCCCAGTACTTAGAGAAGACTCCATCCAATTGTAACACAATAATAAATCTGGGATAAACAGGCAAAGATCATTTTTTCTAGTGATAATGTAATAATAGCCCACCTGGGAGAGAGGGTGCCATGGGGTCTATATACCTCAATATTTCAGACCCTTTTTCTGGCCCCCCAAAATCATTATTCACATTTGCTCATCCAAAAATTCTATTATTCAAGGTCAGAGTAGCCTGGCTGAACAAAAAATGTTGAAATGGTCCAAATTTCCCTTCATTATATCTCACATATTACACTGTGATATAGTTTTTCCTTGGTTGCAGTTTCTTATCAAATATTCTCATTTTGATTTTAATATCAATATGCTAAACTACATAGTATTGTTGATTAGGTAAAAAATTAAATTGAATGTTTTTGCAGTATCTATTTTTAAAAAGTTCACTGGGTACCTTATCTGAAGTTTAATGTTCTGCAATTCTCAAGGACATTGGCTGAGGCCTCAGTGAAATCTCTGCCTTAGTCAGAGATTACTTATGGAGTCCAGCACAGTTTGGACTGTTAACATACTGTACCCAAGAGGTATTGCCACTCCCACTATCCCAGGATACATTCATGATGTAGCTGATCTATTTATGCAGATGACTGGTTTTAGTAGTGTAGATTCACTGCCTTTTAGATAGCTCATGGTAAGTCTGTCAGTCAGGGTTCCTAAACCCCTCAGACCTGCTGAGGATTTCTCTATTTCCCAAGATTCCTGTCTCCATGTGATGGCTAAACTGGAGCCAGAAGCCAGAAGCCCCCAGGATGTGCACATGCCAAAGGGTTGAGGGAGGAGCATGAGATCAAAGGAGAGCATCCCAGGGACATCCTAGAGATGAGGTCTCTCCCCTAGACCTCCATAGTGATCCCAGACACCTCCTAAAATCCCAGATGCATAGTGATGACCTTTTTCTCCATAGCAGAGTTTCTTAAGTTGGGGTCCACAGACCCCCAGGGAGTCTATGGAAGCACTTTAAGGGTACATAAGATGTGTGTGTGTGTGTGTGTGTATATATATATATATATATATATATATATATACACATTATTTTGGGGAGTGAACTTCATGGCCTTCATCATATTTTTAACCTAATCTATGGAAGAATCTTCAGAGCTCTGTGGAAATCTTCAAGTTATAGTTACTGGGATAGAGAGAGGCAGTTAGGTCAATTCTGACACAGCTCAGCCCTGAATCTGTGATATCCAGCCATATGCAGTATATGTGACTAACTACCAGATTCCAGGCTCCAGAAAACATCCCTGAGGCTGCAAGGACTCAGTCACCATCTCAACTATGGTCTGGTCCCTGAAAGGACCATTTGTACCTGGATATCTCAGAGATAGAACCAGAAGAGGAAAAATATATATGCTCTGAGCCTAAGGTTAGCTGAGTTCATCACAGACCCCAGGCCATGCCTCTGAGACTGCCCTCTGAACAGAAGGAGGAGATGGGAATCATTGAAGACGGACAGTCATCAGCTCTAGGCCTTGCCCCTAAAAGCATGGGGCCCGAGGGCCTCCCCCCAATCCCTGTAGAAACAAAGCACCAGTCCCTATAACCAGTCATTCTCCCTTATCTAATGCCCAAGGTCTCCCTGGATCCTGAAATAAAACTGACCCTGCAAAGGGAAGGAAGGCCTGCAACTAGCCCAGAAAGCCAACCAGAAAATGGTGTGTATATCCTCACAGGACAGAGTCTAATCCGGGAGTTTCAGAAATGCAAGGTGCTTTGAAGCCCAGATTTCATTTATATTATGGTTCTCAAACTTTAGTATGAATAACAGTCATCCTGAGTGTTTTTGCTGTTGGTTTTTTGTTTTGTTTTGTTTCATTCTGACAGAGAGAGAGAGTGTGCTCGAGCAGGGGGAGGGGCAGAGGGAGAGGGAAAGAGAGACTCCCAAGCAGGTTCCACGCTCAGCGCAGAGCCCAACGTGGGGCTCGATCTCACAACCCTGAGATCATGACCCAAGAGAAAATCAAGAGTCAGTCAACTGAGCCACCCAGGCACCCAATGAATGTTTGTTTTATAGTACAGATTCCTATAATCGTAATTCAGTAGTTCTGGGGTAGAGCCCAGATATTTACAGGTTGTAAAATGGAACTAGCAATTCTGATCTCAGGCAACCATGGAGTGTACCTTTAGAAAGTATCTAGGGTTTCTAGGGGCTTTAAGGCATCAGATGTGGAAAAGGGGCTTTAAAGGAATTTACAGTCCTCAGATAAATCATTGAAATGCCATGGAGAGCTTCTGGCCAGCACAGGCCAAAGGCCCCTGGGGGGGGTCTATGGCTCCTACTGGTTAGTAATACATTTATATTCTTCAACTAATAGGAAAAATGAATTTGATGCACCAGAACCAAGACCAACTTTGAAGCCCAGCAACTTTTATAGATTATTAAATTTTTATCCTTTAAAGGGTCATAACAATGGTACCTACCCCATAGAATTACATACAGTGAGAAGTAAATGAGATAATTTGAACAAAGTGTTTAGCATAATGCCCAGACACACAGGAGTTGAGTGTTAGCTACTGTAATCATTAATTACTGCTAATTATGACTATATCCATGCTCACCAAGAAACCACTGTAGCATCCTGTTTGTGAAAGACTGAGGTCAAATGTGGTCTCTATGGACTGAGGTATTCTCCAGAGAAGTTATTATTAAGGGTATTTTTTTTTTTTAACTCAAGAGCAAAAAGAGTCCAATCCTCAAATAGATCACGAATGTAATCAAAAACATTTTAGATTTCCCTTTACCTTCAGTTCTGACATTATCCAAAAATCAACTTGCTCCAACAGTACCATCCAAATTTGGTGAAAAATGAAGCTATGGGGTTCTGTGCAACTTTTCAGTCAACAGCGACCTCTGCATGCATGAGAACTAAATCTGTGACTATTACCTGAACTGCCAACAGTTTTCAACTACCTAAGAGAGCTGCCCCAAACAAATAAACTTTATTTTCAGACGAAAGATCCAAGCAGACCAGCAAGAAGACTTGACAACCAAACCGTGATGAACATTTGGCCAAGTATTTCCTCACCAGCCAGGAACCCCTAATATTAGAAAACTCCATCTCTCCACCCCCTCGTCTAGCCTGTTTGCTTAAAATGAATAAGAACTGGTGAGACACATTTCCTGAGAAGGAAGCATGGGTGGTTTTGGATAGAAAGGAATGAAAGGGACAGAAGCAACTAAGTTTCTCCATGAAGAAAGGAAAGAGAAAGAATATTACAGAATAGATTAAGATCAGAAAACAAGACCAATTAGGGCCTTCAGGATAAATATGAGACCTCTCTAGCTGCTCTGATGAAGAGTAGTACCACAGGTCTCGGGGGAGAAAGGATTAAATGTATGGACAGAAATATATAGCCCACCCTCTTCCATATCTTGCATTAGGTCAGTTTGAACATGGCTTTGCCCCCCATCAGTCAGACCTGACATGGATCCTGGAGCCTGGGGATCAGGCCTATCCCAGCCACCATCACCAGTGAACACATCCATGACAAACCCAAATTCCTAATTCCTAAACTACTTCAAGTCACCCCATATTGTAGCCACTCAGGAACAGAAGAAGCTTTGTTTAAAAAAAAAACAAAAACAAAAAAACTGCATGTTTTAATTCAAGAAATAAAAGTTCACAGGCAATCCAGGACAGGTGCCAGGAATTTGCTCTACACAATCAGCCACACCTGCTGCAAAGGTTCAGGTTCCGTGGAATCACTGTGGCCAGTGCCTCCTGAGATGCTCTTTCAGCTGGGGAATGGAAGGCAGCGACTCCTGGCACTCGTGACAACGCAGGGGCAGCCTCAAGAGCTCAGGCATCCCATCTCGGACACTCACTGTGCCAGCGTCCTGTACCATCTCTATCACAGCTGCAAGCAAAGAAAAAAGTTCAGAGCCCAGCTACTCTGAAAAGCCAATATAAGATACCCCCCAGAAAAGCAAATCTGACTCCAAATAAAAAAATGCCAGGTATCCTAAAGCTAGTAAACTTGAGGTTAAACCCACTGTGGGGAAAATGGGCTTGATCAGATTCTAAATCTGAGCAACCTGTTTTTGAAATAATTACATTCCTTTAGGACACACTGTAAGCAAACCATGTTACATGTCACCACAGTGCTTTACTGCTGGTTAGCCCTTGGTCAGTGGTAGCTGCCATCATTAATGTCCCAGCATACTGAAGTTCCACAGTATACACACGGGGAAATGCTCCCTTCCACATACATGCAGCCCTCCCCTGTTAATTAACCACTTGTGACATGAGGCTGCCCCCAAGCTCCTATCCAGCTGATGGCAGAAAAGACAACTGTTCAGAGCTTTCACATCCACGAACTCCAATAATTCTCAGGACAACCTTTAAGTCCCCTGTCGTTACAATAAACATCTTTCTGACTCTGACATAACAGCTTTCTAGGTCCCCCCCAAGAAGGTGGCTCAAAGCAAAGTGGCAATCCAAATATCCAGTTTCTTTTATTTTTTTTATTATTTTTTTTAATCCAGTTTCTTTTAATGGGTCTCTCCGTATAGGGACACAAAGTGGTACATGGGCTTTTGAGGCCAGGTAATTATCTAAAGAAACAAGAAAATCAAATATAAGAATAGGAAAAAAAAAAAAGAATAGCTGAGAAAATGAAACAAATGTGAAAACTAAAGAACTCTGTTTACCTTGTGATTCTAGGAAGTATTCTGTATTGAAAGAATTCCAATGTTTTTTGTTTTTAAGGCAAGGAGAATCAAAATCCTGGCTGATCACATGAAGGTGTACATGGCTAGTTGAGAGAGAAGGAAATTGACCATTAAATCCATTAAAAACGATGGCTTAATCAAAATGACAAACAGTAAAAGTATGGGTATATAAAATATTGCTAGTGTTTCCATTTAATCTAATTCATTCAATCATTCACTTAAGAACATTTAATGCTTACTAAGTACCTACTAGAGCCAACCATTATTCTAGCACTGGGAATTTAGCAGTGAACAAAATGAGAAAGGCCTCTGCCCTTATAGAAATTATATTCTAGTAAGGAAAGACATATTTTAAAAAGAAAACAAATAACAGGGAGAATTCAAATCATTAACATTGCTAAGGAGGGCGCCTGGGTGGCTCAGTCAGTTGAGCGGCTGCCTTCAGCTCAGGTCATGATCCCAGGGTCCTGGGATTGAGCCCCACATTGGGCTCCCTGCTCAGTGGAGAGCCTGCTTCTCCCTCTCCCTCTGCCTGCCACTCTGCCTACTTGTACTCTCTCTCTCTGTCAAATAAATAAATAAAATCTTTAAAAAAAAAAAAACAAAAACATTGCTAAGGAAAAACACAAACCAGGGAAATGGGACACAGAGTGCTCAGGGGCTAGAAGTTACCTCTTTAGCTAGAGTGTTCAAGGAAGGCCACTCCCAGGCAGTGATTTGAGCTGAGAAAGCAGTCAGGCAAGCAAAGATCTGGAGAAAGAATGTTTTGGGGAGTGGCAATGCCAAGTGCAAAGACCCTAAGATAAGAAAGAACTTGGCGCAACTGAGGAACAGAAAGGTGATAGATAGGGCTGGAATGGTTCGAGCTGAGGAAGAGAGACTAGGTGGGAGTCAGAAAATAAAGAGTCTTACAGGCTGACAAGAGGTCTGCAGTGTATTCTGCTTACATTGTCTCTGATTTGCACTTTTAAAAGATCACTCTGGCTGCCCTGCAGAGAAAGAACTATAAAGAGGGTAACAATGGATACAGAGAGGAGTTAGGAAATTACTGCAGAAATAATCACACCTTAGATTAGAGCTGTAGTGTTTGGAATATATTTTGCAATAGAACCAATAGGACTTCCTAATGGATTAGATGTGGTCTGGGGGAGGTGCCACTTACAGAGATGGGGAAGCTTAAAGGAAAAGCAGGTTTGGGGCAGAAAACCAGGAGTTCTCTTTTGGACTTGTTAAACACTTTTTGTATAAATACGACTCTTAGAATCATTAGTATTTTCTATCCTCCCAATAAATAATCAAAACCAACCAATACATGCAGGAATCCAAAATGGAATATAGGCAGTATCAAACAAACCTAACAGTATTACAAACGAATAAGGGAACCACACTGAAGGGGCTCAGGAAGAAAATAACTAGTGAAATGAACTTCAGAAAAGAGTAGTTTGGATACTGTAAAGATGGAAAGAACTATACAGAAATACTGTGAGTAAATGTCTTTCTCACAGGGTTATGGGTTAGCTAGCAATTCTGTAATTGTTTTATGTATATACTAAGACCAAACAGGAAAGTGAATTTATTATAGCTAATGAGAGCCAGATTTTTCACCCTTGGAGAAAGAAATTACAATAAAGGAAAGGGGGAGACAAGAATGAACCGTGTAGAATTGAACTGGAGCCAGAGATACCAGTATAAGCTTGTGTTTTTCTGTACACATACAGAAATAGATAAAGAAAGAAATACGGAGGTGTGTGTATCTGTATGGATTAGGATTCACACATGTATTTCCTGGCCCTATCTGCCGAAAGGACCTAGGAGTAAAGACACCCTGGAATCAACCACTTCTCTCAATATAGAAACCTAGTATCCAAGTCTTGGTTTATAAATATCTTTCTTTCTCCAATAAAATGAACTAAATAAAATAAAAAGTTCATTCCAGGGCGAGAACAGGAAAAATACAGGATAAGCCTGGAATATCTTATTCCAGAAAATAAAGAAGTGCTCAAAAAATGTTGGGGCCCTGTCAAATGATTCGGGACCCAACCTAAAGGAGCTTCCAAGGACTAAAGCTAGAACAATTTGAGCAACAAAATGAATAATGATAGACTAAATTAAAACCTATAGAATAAAATATCCATGAGTCCACACTGACAAATAACTGAATAAATACACAGTGGGGGAGAAGGGACAACTCTTCCATACAGAAGAATTCTAATTAACAAAAAAAATCACCATTAGGTAAACACCACAGTAATAACTCTTGCAGGCAAGACCTTCCAATAAATGCTAAAATCACTGGGCAAAAGTTTGGGGAGAAACAGGATACTAGCATAGTCTCTAACTATTCAAGACATTCATCAATTACAAAGGGAAATAGTAACTCAGGAGAGAAACCTGGCAGACATCACCCTAAAAAAATGATCAAGGTTAATATGAGCAATAAGCCATCTCGACATCACGTACTCCTTGATATGAATGTACTGAGAAGGACACAACATCACCTCTGTGGTATTGGGGGGGCGGGGGAAGCATAACCTCAATCTAATCATGAAAAAATATCAGAAAAATCCAAAATGAGAGACATCCTATAAAACCAACCAGTAATCGGGACGCCTGGGTGGCTCGGTCAGTTAGGTGTCTGCCTTCGGCTCGGCTCATGATCCCAGGGTCCTGGGATCGAGTCCCACATCGGGCTCCTTGCTCAGCGGGGAGTCTGCTTCTCCCTCTCCCTCTGCCTGCTGCTCCCCCGCTCATGCTCTCTGTCTCTGACCAATAAGTAAATAAAATCTTTAAAAAAAAAAACCACCAGTAATCATCAAAAGTGTCAAGGTCATAAAAACTAGGAAGGGAGAAGGAAGTGTCACAAGTTAGGGGAAACTAAGGAGAGACAACAAATAAATCCAATGCAGGATCCTGGATTAGATCCTGGAGCAGAAAAACATAAAAATAAAAAAATAAAAAATAAAGAAAGGTGAAATTCAAATAAGGTCTAGAGTTTAATTAGTGGTGATATTATGGAAGATCTTTGTTTTGCTTCACACTTTTTTTTATATTTTCTAAACAGAAAATATATTACTTTTACAAGAAAAAAAAATCTGTTACCCTTTCCTTTCCATACTGTTTATTCAAAATTATAAATAGTGATCATAAAAGGATATGTGAGTGGCAAATTACTGCTCATTTTGCTTCCCACCCACACTTGCCACAGCTCTTTTTAACATTCTTAGAACAATAGCATGTATTACATAAAAAAGGTATGGACACCATGATTACTATGTGAAAAGCACTCTGTAGTCAAAGGGCTCTGTTAGTCATGGGCTGTGCAGCACTGGAGAAATAGGATTATGATTATGGGTGACTTTTGCCCTAAATTTTTGAATAAGATTTTAACAAAAAAATATATACAGTTGATCCTTGAGCTGACCCCCCCACACTATCAAAAACCCAAAAGTGTAATTTTTTACTCCCCCCAAAACTACTAATATCCTACTGTTGATCAGAAGCCTCACCAATAACATAAACAGTCCATTAACACATATTTTGTATGCTATATATGTTATATACTGAAATCTTACAATAAAGTAAGGCAGAGAAAAGAAAAAGTTAAGAAAGTCACAGTGAAAATACATTTACAGTATTTTACTATATCAAAAAACATCTGCATATAGGTGGACCAGCACAATTCAAACCTATGTTGTTCAAGGATCAACTGCATTTTTTTTTTGTTATTTTCTAAAGTGTTCTATTTCTTTTTTTTAATTTTATTGTTATGTTAATCACCATACATTACATCATTAGTTTTTGATGTAGTGTTCCATGATTCATTGTTTGCATATAACACCCAGTGCTCCATGCAGAACGTGCCCTCTTTAATACCAAATCACCAGGCTAACCCATCCCCTCACCCCCTCCCCTCTAGAACCCTCAGTTTGTTTTTCAGAGTCCATCGTCTCTCATGGTTCGTCTCCCTCTCCGATTTCCCCCCCTTCATTCTTCCCCTCTTATGTTCTTCTTTTTTTTTTCTTAACATATATTGCATTGTTCCAGAGGTACAGATCTGTGATTCAACAGTCTTGCACAATTCACAGCGCTTACCAGAGCACATAGCCTCCCCAGTGTCTATCACCCAGTCACCCCATCCCTCCCACCCCACCCCCCACTCCAGCAACCCTCAGTTTGCTTCCTGAGATTAAGAATTCCTCATATCAGTGAGGTCATATGATACGTCTTTCTCTGATTGACTTATTTCACTCGGCATAACACCCTCCAGTTCCATCCACGTTGCTGCAAATGGCAAGATCTCATTCCTTTTGATGGCTGCATAATATTCCATTGTATATATATACCACCTCTTCTTTATCCATTCATCTGTTGATGGACATCTTGGCTCTTTCCACAGTTTGGCTATTGTGGACATTGCTGCTATAAACATCAGGGTACACGTACCCTTTCGGATCCCTACTTTTGTATCTTTGGGGTAAATACCCAGTAGTCAACTGCATTTTTTTTAAATGAGGCCCAACATACATCAACCCTATGACCTAGCAACTTCACTTCCAGGAATTTACCAAAGGGCAAAAAAATGAAGTATGTGCATGATATACACAACAACATACATGAATCTCAAAATCATAATGCTAAAAAAGGTCCGACAGAAGAAAAGTACACATTGTATGATTCCACTTATATGAAGCTCTAGAACAGGCAAAACTAACCTATGCAGAAAGAAATCAGAACAACGCTTGAGGGTTGAGGGGAAGATTAATTGAAAAGAAGCGCAGGGGAACTTTCTGGGATATGACAGAAATGTTCTGTATTTTAATCAGAGTGATAGTTACATGGCATAAATGTTTGTCAAAACTGACCAAACTATAAATCTTGTGCATTTTGTTGTATGTAAGTTATGCCTCTATTTTTTTTTAAGATTTTATTTGACAGAGAAAGACACAGCGAGAGAGGGAACACAAGCAGAGGGAGTGAGAGAGAGGGAAGCAGGCTTCCCTCTGAGCAGGGAGCCCAATGCAGGGCTCGATCCCAGAACCCTGGGATCATGACCTGAGCCAAAGGCAGACACTAATGACCAAGCCACCCAGGCACCCCAGTGATGCCTCAATTAAAAAAAAAAAAATACTGATGGGGGAAAAAATGTGGCACAAAAATTTCATTTGGTTAAAGTGGCCCATCATATAAGTCATAATTCACTGAATAAAATGTGAAGAATGTTGGGCAGTTAAAAAAAAATAACCAAAAGAAATTCTGACACATGCTATAGCAGAGACGGACCTTGAAGACATGATCCTAAGTGAAATAAGCAGTCACAAAAAGACAGATACTGTATGATTCCACTTATATGAAGCACCTAGAGTAGTCAAATTTATAGAAACAGAAAGTAGAATGATAATTGCCAGGGACTGTAGAGCGGAACGGGATGTAGTTTGGGAAGACGAAAAAGGATCTAGAAGCAAACGATGGTGATGGCTGCATAACAATGTAAATGTACTTAAACGCCAATGAACTGTAATACTTAAAATCATTAAAATGTTAAATCTTGTTAGGTATATTTTATCACCAAAAAAACAAACAAATACAAGATAAAAACTCCAAAATCCAATTAGTCTGCTTATCTTGTTGCTTAGCTCTAAAGAACTATGGTGATCTGCCTTGCTTGCATTCTTTAAAAAGACTGTTATTCCTTTCTGAATACTTCTGGGTATGAGCCAAAGGCAAACAGGCTCTATATTTTTCTCTCATTTTACTTTAAATCTTAGATCTACTGAGTTGTCACAATAAAAGTCAGTGATGTTTGTCTCCTTCAAAGCAGTGGTCCTTAATTGTTTAGGAGTTTATAGATGCTTCTGAAAAATCTTAATAAAGTCACAGGCACAAAAAATAAAAAGAAAAATCAAGGCAAGTCAGGCATGAGGGTGGAAGTTTCAGCCCACCTTCCTTGGAAACATCCCACCCTAGTCCCCTGGGCCTTGGAACTATCAGCACACCTAGGCTGAATCCATCTGTCCACCTAGACAGAACCAGAATGCGCTGGCACTACACACGACACTTACCTCATGCTGGGAATGGCATGGTAACCCAAACGGAAGCGGAGTTTGCTGGACCCAGCAAAATCTGTGATCATCTTTTCCCCCACAGTGTGCATGTGTTTAAGGAGCTCAAGGTGTTCCCTGGTCACAGCCTTCAGACTGGAAATGGAAGCCCATGGTAAGACCAGCCAGTGATGACGAGCCTTGGGATATTTATCCTTAATCACCACCACCTGCTCATCTTTGTAAACCTAGCAGAGGGGCATAAGAGAAGGAACAGACATCTACCACACATCTTCTGCATGCCAGGTGCTGTCATATTCACTAACTCACTTAACTCCCAACACAATCTTATGTCAAAGGTTTCAGTATCCCAATTTTGTCAGATGAGAACTGAGACTTGGAACATGTCTTGCACTGTCACAGAGTTAACAAAGTGGGAAGTCTAAGATTGTAAACCAGGTCTAGTTGACTCCAGAGTTCAGTCACCACACTACAAAGAATAAACAGAAAATGCATAGTACAAAATAGTTCCCAAGGTTCTGATGTAACATCCCCGCAAGCATTAATTCAAATGCACCCTTCTCCACTCTAACCCAGCAGACCATGTGTCACAATCATGTGTTCCAAGAAGCCCTACCAGATCTGGCCCCTTGTCACCCAGGATGTAATTTAAGAAGAACTCAAAGACTCCTCCCAGGATGACGCCTGACTATTAATCCCAGGGAGCCCAATAACTACAGTCACAATATATTATCTGACACTCCCTTGAAAGAAACCCCACTAAGGTTAACACAACTTCCCTTAATAGCACCCAGAAGTTTAGGAGGAACAAAGAAGAGGGGATATTCATTTAAGGAACTGAGCTTCTCTCCAACCAATTCCAGTTGCTAACTTACTGATAATGGGAAAAGACGCTTGGTTCTCACAAAATAGCCCAATAAAACGAACCTCAGTCAGAAGGACTGATCTCCTTTGCTTTCACTTGTAGTTATGACCTCTGTGGAGTAGTCACTTAAAACATGAAGTGTATTGGGGCGCCTGGATGGCTCAGTCGTTAAGCATCTGCCTTCGGCTCAGGTCATGATCCCAGGGTCCTGGGATCGAGCCCCGCATCGGGCTCCCTGCTCTGCGGGAAGCCTGTTTCTCCCTCTCCCACTCCCCCTGCTTGTGTTCCCTCTCTCACTGTGTCTCTCTCTGTCAAATAAATAAATAAAATCTTAAAAAAAATAAAATAAAATAAAAATGATGCAGGAGAAATCTATTTAAAAAAAACAAAATAAAACATGAAGTGTATTTCAATGCCAAAATGCTATTCTGACCTGCATTTTGGGATCCTGCATAGAAATTTTCAAGCCTTGACTCCAGTGGCCCAATGATTCCTGAAACAAAAAGGGGCCATAAAAATTGCAAATGTCAATAGTTGTATTTGGCATTAGTTAATATTGTATTTCAGCAAAGCCCAACCAAACTTAGCAATGAGATTAAGTTTTTAAGAATTAAGCTATACCCCCTTTACTCAATCGTTTGCCTTTATAACCTAAACCGGCTCCATTTTCTTCCTATACAGGATTCAGAGCTGTGTGTCTAGACGAAGGCTGGAGATGCCAGAGTGTCAACTGCATCTTCTTCGCCCTCTCCCACTCCATCTACAGCCTAACTACATTTCCACTTTGACATCAGGATGCGAATCACATGATCTATGAACAGTGTTCCAATGCTAACCTTCTACAGATAAACATATGACTGACCCATTTTAGCAGTTCCATGCTAAGCACACCGCCATTATCTCCCTACCGTCAAGTGGCTTACCTCAGGAATTCAAGAGAAAAGTACATGAAGGGACATTCACCCAAGTGACTGGTGACACAAACAAGTGACTCTTTCATCATGGTTAATAAGCCTTGTCATGGTTAATAACCCATTATGCGTATCTGGGCTTTACAGTGTACAAAACAATCAAGCAGTCATTATATCTCATTTAATCTCCACATCATCTATCAAGCACACCGCCCTCACCTTTTTGGTAGATGCATCTTTCCCTTTCTTTGAGGGCACAGAGGATTGGCCAGGGTCACTCCCAGGTTCCAGTCCTCTACAGGACTCAGCTTCCTGGGCAGCATCCCTTTCTATAGAATCACTGTTGCCTGACCTCTTTCTCTTCCTGTGTGTTTCTAGGCCAGGGCTCTCTGCCTCTTCCTCAAACTCTACAATATATGGATAAAGTTCATTCACCATGTGGAGAATTTGGCCAGGCTGCAGCTTCACCTCTTGGTCCTTCCCAATTATGACTGAGTCAATGCTGGTGGGATTGACCCCTACCTATAAATAATCAGAAAATAATTACAAAGATAGCAATAATACCATTAGCAGCATAGCCACTGCTATGTTAACCACTTACTGCATGCCAGGCACCATGCTTAATGCTCACTCCCCACACATGACAGAGAAGCTTTTATTGGTTGGCACAAACACTCTAAAATCAACAGCATAAGAAAATCATCAAGTATAAAATGGAAATCCAAATTACAAACATACATACCTGCTTCACCTTGACATATCCTTTGTTACACTCTGCTTTCAACTGTACTGAAAGAGATTTTAAAAAGTTAAACCTAAATGCCACAAAGAACCAAGCACTTGCTCCTATTCTCCTTACAGGACAATGAAGCCTCACTCCAGGAGGCAACTTGACTGTAGTTTCCTCAAAGGCCTATGAGCAAAATTGCCTGTTATGCAGGTGGCTGGGCTCCAAATCCTTCCATAAAATGTCCACCAGCACACATACTCCCTTAGCTCCTGCTAATATCCCTACGAAGCAGCTTCACAGAATCCCCACAAATCTCGCTATTCCAGAGCCCTTGGCCCACTCAGGATCACAGACTCTGCAGTCAGGGAAGGGACCCCATTCTCTCACAGACTCTTGGTTCATGATTATATCAGGCTTCCACTATTTAATAAAACTATGAGATGCTTTCAGTAGAAAAAGGCAAAAGATACACTTCTGGAAAAGAGAAGTTCAGCTGGCCTTAGTAGGCAGAGTGATTTTTCTAGGAAGAGGATTGCAGGAACAGAACAGTCTGAGCATATGTGGGAAGAAATAACATTAAACACTTGTGTTCAGAGAAGTGAACAAAGTTTCTAGGGGGAGACAGGGTGCACAGACACCACAGCTGCTCTCCAGGAAAGAACAGGCAGAAGACAGGCTGACATACAAGTCCCTACAGTTGCTGTTGTGAAATGGGGACAGAGTGAAAAGCAGTATCTGCTTCTGTATCTCAGACCTAGCCAGCTCAAGTATGTTTTTTTTTCCCCATTTAGATTAACTCATGTGGAAAAAATCATAATCAGTACTGCAGACTCCAAGCACTGAGAAACTCTATGGGGAACACACATGTGGGGGTCTGGTAGCAGTGAGCATGTCCAGAGTTTATATGTAAAAAAATGAGGTACATGGTAAGGCTTTTTCCTAAGGACGTTCTTTTCATTAAATCCCAGGAAAGGCATTTCAAGAGCTAGATGCCATAGTCTTATAAAGATAACCCCCTCTGTGTGAGGCATTATGTAAAGGATGGAACTATCCCATCACTTCTCAGACATGGTTTCAGGCTGGAGGTCCCAGAATTAACTGTCTCACTGCTCAATGAGGAATCTCCCTGGGCAAAGCAGGGTACAAGATTCAGGTCCATCACCCCATAGTAACAGGATGGAACCTGCCTATTCTCAACACTGAATATTAACCACTTCCAGAGGGTAGAATCTGGGGTGAATGGGTCCCTGGTGTTAGCTAAAAGAGCTCAGTTCCTGAGTTTTGTTTATGGCAGACAAAAAGATTCTACCAATAGCATCCAGGAAATGTGCATCTTGGGTTATCATTATCCTGAGGAACAAAACACAGTAATCTGCACATTGCTATGACCAAGTACCTTGCTGTCGAGAACATTTCTTGTCAACAATCTTGGTCTCTGGGCCACGCCCAACCATGACTGCTTCCAAATGCGGAAGTTTGATTCGCTGGTGCCGGTTATCCTGTCTCACCAACCAGCACACCCTCATCATTACTCTGAGAGAAAAAAACAGAAGAGAATCACTGGAAAAATTAGCACAAGTCCTCCAGGGCCACACCCCAGCACCACCACATATGCCATCTACCAGTGACTTCACCTAGGTCTCAATTTTCTCACCTCTAAAACATGATGATGACAGGACTCATGAGGCTGTTGTGAGAATTAAATACGATAATGTATATATTTACCTCCATGCCTAAATCAGGCTAAGCAATCAAATATTATGTTTATTGATATACTCTACGTGCTGACCATTAGCCTACACACTGAGGATAAAAGAATAATTAAACATTGTCCCTATCCTTGAGGGGCCTGGAGTATAGGTGGGGCAGACAGACTCCTATGTCAATTATTACAATATGATGTGATAAGCACCATAAAAAGGGATTAACCAAATATGGCATTAGCCCAGGGAAAGGAATAACTGACTCTTGTAAGTAATATCAAAAACAGCTTAATGAGGATGGGATATTTATGCTGAGTTTTAAAGCATGAGAAGGAGTTTGCATGGCAGAGAATTAAGGACATAAGAATAGAGGATGTTCTTCAGTCCACAGGCATCTTTATGTATATTAGGTTTCCCTCCTTAATCATCATTAACATATCAATATTAGAACAATACATTTTATTGCCATCTAACATTAGACTGTCATAATAAATATGCAAACCTACAATGTCTAAAGTGTGAATGTGGCCCCTCTGTGCAATACACAAACTGCACAACAGTGAAGGAACCGGTTTTCTTTTGAAAACAACCTTTAGGGGCGCCTGGGTGGCTCAATCGATTAAGCATCAACTCTTGATTTCAGCTCAGGTCATGATCTCAGGGCTGTAAGATGGAGCCCTGCATTGGGCTCTGGGCTCAGTGGGACGTCTGCTTAAGATTCTCTCTCTCTGCCCCTCCCCACCCACCCATCCCAATCACTGCTCCCTCTGCATACGCACACACACTTTCTCTCTCTAAAATTAATAAATAAATCCTAAAAAAGGAAGGGAGGGAGGGAGGAAGGAACGAACGAACGAACGAACGAATGAACAACCTTCATGGCCACATAGGGTATCAGTAGAAGGGAGAGAGACAAGAAATTTGGGAGGAAAAAAAAAAAGAAAGAAATTTGGGAGAGAGATGAGGCCTGAACAAAGGCAGGGCAAAGGGAATGGAGAGGAAGAAGATCCAGAAAAATTGTGAAGGTAGACTTAATTACTGACTGTATTTGGGGAATGACAAAGGAGTAAAGGGAGACATCAATCAAGACTTCTAATTTGGAAATAGCCATTAACCACATTGAGAAATAAACAAGGAGACATAATTTGAAGTTAAATGGCAGATGAAGAAGGGATGATTTCTGACTGAAACACAATTAGATTAAGATCCACAGGTCAAGGTAGGATATATGGGTAGAAAGCTCAGGGAGAGGAATGGGCAGAATGTATATATTTGAGAGCCATCAACATGTCAGAGAAGGTGAGGCAAAGAGAGAGCATGAGATCACCCAGAGAGGGAGAGCAGGAAATTATGCACAGAGACAGGACTAGGATCTTTGGGATGCCTCCAGAAACTGACCATTCAAGCCTCTAATACCCTCTGAGAAATGTGCCCTGCAGGCAAGGCAGCAGTTATCAAGCCCTCTGCACAAGCTCTGTGTCCAAAGGGAACAAAAAGGAACAAGATTTTTAAAAATCAGAGTTTTATTACCAACTGCAAAGAAAGGATAATGCAAAGGAGTGAGCAAATGAGTGCTGAAGAGGTGCAAAGTCAAAGAAATTTGATCAGTCAGGAAAGGCTTTAGAAACCACCCAACTGAAAAGGCCGAGAAGACTGATAAGAAAATAAGTGGGAGGGGACATTCCATTTTTTTTAAAAGATTTTATTTATTTATTTGACAGAGAGATAGACAGAGAGGCAGGCAGAGGGAGAGGGAGAAGCAGGCTCCCCGCTGAGCAGGGAGCATGATTCGAGGCTCAAACCAACTGAGCCACCCAGGTGCCCCGGGACATTCCATTTTTAAAAGCACAAGTGACAGGGACACCTGGCTCAGTCCGTAGAGCGCGCAACTCTTGATCTCTGGGTCACTGAGTTCAAGCCCCACACTGGGTGTGGAGATTCTTAAATAAATAAAACTTAAAAAAAAAAAAAAGGTACAAGTGACAACACAGATTTCAGCAATAAGCCACAGGTAAGGGGTAGAAAGCAGACCTTATTAGCTGACCCAGAGGAGCTGCCCCAGAGAATCACCAAAAAATTGCAGAGGTACTGAACACTAGGCTGAAAAGTTTAGACTTCACAATCAACAAGAGACAACTGCCAAGTTATTGAGCTGCAGAGCAAAGTGAAACAACAGCTGTGTGTAGGCAGGCTGGAGCGGAGAAGTCTAGAGTCAGAGATTAGTCACGAGGCTGTCAACATAATGACCAGAGTGAGGTCCAAAAGTTCAGGCAGGTCTTTGTGAAGGAATGGATGCAAGAGCATGAAGAGTCAGCTGCATACCTAAAATCCTGAAACTGGAGCCTCAAATGATGATGATGCTACAGGCAAGTCCCACTTTTAAATGCTATGTGTTCAGAGGGGCATCTGTTTGCACTTGCTGGAAACTGATGAATGAGCAGGTAATGGACTGAGAAGTGAAGTATGTCTTCATCAGGCCTTGGGAAATAAGTCATGGTGACTGACTACTCACAGTAATAAAAGAAATCTGGAGAGAGCACAATTTGAAAGCAGGGACAGGAAGGAATCTGATGGGCCGCTGAGAGCATGGCTGGCTGTTGCAGGATAATAGGAACTACCCCTCCTGCCCTATACACACACTCATTCCCACCAAAATTCTCAAGTTATGATGTTCCTATTTACTACTTCTTGAGAAGCTAAAGCAGTGACTGCACAATGCTCACGCAACTAACGTTAAGCAACATTTTGGCCCATTTTAGCCTCCAGTTCCAATTTCTAGGAATGAAGCATTTTAGAATATGGGGAGTACATAATGATAGGTGTTCCTGAATCTTTAAATTGGTCCATCCAATAAAACTCCATAAACTGCAAGTTCTAGGACAGAAGTCAAGCCCATTTTTTGCTTACCAATATATCTCCAACACTTAATACTTGGCATACAGGAACGCAATATATATTGCAAGTAAATCACCAGATGATAATCCTATCCAGATTCTCATCCCTTTCTTCTCTTTCCCCTGCTCCAGTTCCTCTTAAGTGGTCCTTTGCTCCTCTCTTTGGGCAATCCCATCCTCACATCTAGGCAGATAAATTCTAATTCTCTATTTTCTAACTCCCTACTTTTCATTCCAGGAAAAAATTCTGGTTATATCTTAAGGAACCAAAGTGATCTGATAGGCCACACAAGCCCAGCAATCTGATAATGTGGAACAGTGCTGTCCAGTAGAATTTTTTGCAATGATGGAAGTATCGTTAACCTGCATTGTCTAATAATGTAGCCACCATGTGACAATCAAGCATCCGAAATGTAGCTAGTGCAACCAAGGAACTAAAGTTCTTAGATTTTTTTAAACATACATTTAAATAGCTACATGTGGCTGATGGCTACCATGATATCCAACTCAACCCCAGAAATTTGCCCAACCTGGTAAGTACCAAATTCCTCAGGCTTGAGGTTAAGACCCTCATACTCTACCCCCACAAAGGTTACTTATGTCACCTCCTACTTCCTTTCATAGAACTAGCCCACCCTTCCCTTCCCCCAGACTCACATACGTTTATTCTTACACACAAATACATCCCTCAGGTATGATGTACTGAGTCACATCTCCCAAGTAAGTCATTCTTAATATGATCTCCTGGCATTGGATTATACCGTTTCCTCCTTCCTAGAATCCCAAATCCTTCTCAATTCCCAAGTCCCACCTCCTCCAGGGAGGCCTTCACTGAACTATCTTGTCTTCTCTACATCTTGCCATAGGGTGTGGTCAATTTATCTTCACAGTTCTCTGAAAATTAAATGTGGATGTAATTCTACTCTCCAAATGAGATTATAATCTCCTTATATACAGCCTGCATCACTACCCATCCATACAGAAAACTCAGGTCTCTAGAAGATTATGGCCCTAGGCTAGGCCTGGCCTTACACTTCTCAATATCCTCTGGTGTTCGGCATACCTTTATCTAGTGCATACTATCTGCTAGGCACTTGTTAAATGTCTTACTTTTATTATCTCATTTAATTTTCCCAGCAACTCTCATTCTAAGGAAAAGAAAATTTAAGGCTTAAGAAAAAATAGGTAACCTATTTTTAGTTTGGCATAAAAATGTGTGCCAGAGATAGGATTTGAATCAATTCTAAAGAACGGGTTTTTGTTTTTGTTTTTTTTTAAAGATTTTATTTATTTATTTGAGAGAGAGAGAATGAGAGAGCATGAGAGGGAGGAGGGTCAGAGGGAGAAGCAGACTCCCTGCCGAGCAGGGAGCCCGATGCGGGACTCGATCCTGGGACTCCAGGATCGTGACCCGAGCCGAAGGCAGTCGCTTAACCAACTGAGCCACCCAGGTGCCCTAAAGAACGGGTTCTTAATCACTACACCATATACCTTTTGTCTTCACTCATTTGATCATTCAATTAAAATTACTATGTGCCGGGGCGCCTGGGTGGTGCAGTCAGTTAAGCATCCGACTCGTGGTTTTGGCTCAGGCTGTGATCTCAGGGTCATGAGATCAAGCCCCACGTCGAGCTCCATGCTCAGCATGCAATCTGCTTGAGATTCTCTCTCTCTCTCTCTACCCCTCCCACTCGTGTGCTCTAAAATAAATAAATAAATCTTTTTAAAAAATTACTACATGTCTACAGTGTGCCTTGTGCTATTCTAGTACTGAGAATAAAGAAATAATACATATCACTCATATAATGGAGGTATAATATATCATGCCTGCCTTCAAAAGGCTCAGTCTTGTGGGGGAGAGAAACACAAAAACATTTATAATAAATGTAGTAAGTATAGTGATTGGTCTGTGCAGAGTATCATGGGAGCACAAGGCTGGAGTACCCAACCCAGACATGGAGAAAGGAGATGTCAAGGAAGATTTCCTATAGGAGTCAGACCTAAAATGAGTCCTATATATAAGCCAGATTAACTAGGTGAAGGGTCATCCTAATTAGGTGAGGAGAAGGAAGTGGATAAAGGAAACAGGGAGAAAATTCAAGTCAAAGGGAATAGCAAGGGCAATGCACAAAGAAATAATAGACTGCACATGAAGAAGCAGTTCAGTGTTGCTACAACTTAAAATATGAGGCAGAAAAGAGGCTAGAGACACAGGCACGTCCAGAATAAGCAGAGCCCTGGGTGACTGGCTGAGAAGCTCAAACTTTAGAAGTTCCACTGGATTTTACAATTTAATAAACAATAAAAATTTGCTAAGTGAATGAGAAAAAAGATCAGATGAATGAACAGACAGATACTTAAAGATTATTAAGCAGGACTTTAACACAGATTTGTGTCAAAGATCATTTGGGGGAGGAGGGTACGTGTTACTTCTATCACCTCATGTGAGAAGATACATGGGGAACAGGACTGGAGGCAGGGAAATCGTTCAGAAGGCCATCACATTTCAGATGAAAGATGACAGTGCCTAAAGTAGTTCAAAGGTAGGGATGAAGAACAACACAGATTTGAGAAATATTTAGGGGGTAAAATCATCAGGACTTAGTGATCTATGTGATGAGAGCAAGTTCAGGGAAGACAGCGTTCAGTTTCAGGCTTGTGAATTTGAACTGTGGGACTTGCAGGCAGAGCTGTCTAGTAGGGTGGTCAGAGGTGAGGGTGAAAGTCAGAAAAAAGGGTCTGACAACTTTGATTTGGGAGCATGTAGAAGGGAGTTAAAACCAAGCTAGTTGATGTGCTCTCAGGCAGTGTATCCAGAACAAAAAGAAGAGTGAGCCAAAGTCACAAGCCTTGCAAATACCCAACATTTTAGGGGAGGAAGAAAAAAGACTACCCACAGGAGAAATGGCTGGTGAGAGACACATGGAGAAACAGCTAGAATGTAAGCTCCTTACAAGGAGGCACTTCGTCTTCCTAGTCTCTGTATCATAATAAATGTTTGTTAAATAAATCAGCTGAATGTATTATTCTGGAAAGCAAAGCAGTAGAGGAGTGAGAGTTTCAAAAGCAGCAAAGGTGACTAAAAAATGTCTATCTGGTTTGATAATTACTGTAACTTTAAGGTTAAAATTTCAGGGGAATGATAGGTCTCAAAGGGAGACCGAAGAAAGGAGTGAAAGGTGAGGAAATGGAGATAGAATTTAGAATACTCTTTAAAATAGTTTGAATAAGAAGGGGAATAGAGTTACTGGATGACATCTAAAGGAAGGATGGATCACTAAGACTTCCTTTCTTTCTAGCTTGGTAGGTTAGGGGGCAGGTGACCAGGAATCTGAGAAATCTGACATGTTTATACAAAACTAGGACATAGGGGCAGAAAAGACAAATGAAAACAAGGTCTCATAGATGAAAATATAAAAGGTAAGAAGCAAAGACACAGGGATTCGCTTTTATCAGAGCAGAGTGAAAGAAAGGTAAAAAGGGTGTAAGTCTAAGACTTTTTTAAGAAGGGAAAGCAGGGGCAAAATTTTGAGGGAAAGCACATCTGATGACCTCAATCCACTCCATAAAATAGTAGGTAGGAGTGAGGTGTTTGGGAGCTTAATGAACAGTTGAAAAAAATCAATGTAATACAGTGGATAACATCCAGGCCTCTTAAGTTCAACTGCTTGAGTTCAAACCATGGCTCGGTAACCTACCCACTGTGTGATTTGACACCAATCATTTAACCTAGGCCTTTAATTCTTTAGCTGTAAAACAACATTAAGAATTGCTCTACAACACAGGGTTGTCACAAGGACTGAATGAGGAAGTATGCAAAGCTCAGTGTCTGGCAAAAAGTAAGCATTCAACACTATTATCACTGGTTAACAGTGAAGACAGGATAAAAGCAAGAGCTAAGGACATGTAAAAAGATCATCCCCCATCACTGACTGTGCAACTTAGGTGGAAGGGCACAAGTCTGTATTGTCTCCCTACATGTACAGTCTGGTCTCAAGTATTTTAACAATTCCTAATATGTTAGATTCCCTAAAGGCTCTAAACACTAATTCCAAATGGAAATTATATCCCTGCTTTTTTGAACCACTATCACTGCCTACATGATAAAAAGCTTGCTTCTTCTGGCCCTCCTATTAGGCCTGTTGAGGACGACGTGAAGGCCCCTCCAGTTCCTTTCAGGAAGCGCTTCTAGAGGAAACAATGCCCTTCCTGACAAGCTGAGCCGCCTCCTGGGCTGGACAATACCCTCTCTCTCTAATCTTTTTTTCTGCTTGTGTTGTGACCAAGCTGTGGGGTGAGAGGGGAGGTGAACGAACGTGAGGTGGGGCGGCGAACGAAAAACGGCCCAAGGGAGCTTGGCAAAATGAGACGCCTAGAGGCCGAGGGCGGAGCAAAGCCTGACGGGAAAAAAGCCATAAAAGCATTATTCAAGGAACATGATTCAAGGGCAGTAATGACCCCGGTCCAGAACCCACAACCACGGTTTTCCACCCGGCCAGCAGAGGAGGTAGGCCAACAACTGCCTTACCTCGAGACCGCGGAGACAGACAAGCGCAAGTCACTCTTCAGAGCCGCACCACTTCCGGCGCTGTGTGATGACGTCACGAGGCCATCCAGGGAGCAACCGGTGATGTCACCAGTGCCCGTCCAAAGATTGGCTGAAAGGGTCTCTCCCAATACCCGGATCGGGAAGCGTCGGCTCCTATTGGTCCCTCTCGGGCCGATCCTAGTGCGGTTTCTGGCAATGATCCCGTGGAGCACTAGCAGAGCTTCTCTCCATCCGAGAGTCTCTTCCCCGTCACCACCTCTCAGTCTGAGTCCGGAGAGACTTCAGGCAGCTGTCCTCTCTGTGGCCGTTTCTAGGCAACTGTGCAGTGCCTTGACACTCCGTTAGTAGAAGCTCATTACCTTTAAGGCCATCTTTTCCGCTGTAGAAAGTACCTGCTGTGGCATCGTTTTCCTGCCCTCTTTCAAAACTGCAATCGACTCTCTTTTGTCTGGGGAGAAAGGGCTGGAGGGGCATGCGGTGGGAAAACCTGATTAAGACTGTTTTAATGCTGTCTTTACTAAATGAACTGGCTGACAGGCAGTTAGGGAGGAGAGAAGCAGCAGGCTGCTGGGATGAGATGGGTTTACCGATTTTTATAGCGATTCCAGGATGTTCCCTAAGAGTCATGTATTGCAATTATTCGAAGGTATTTTGGCAGATGGAACAATTCCTATCTTGTGGGTGAAGGCATAGTTTATAATTTTTCTCAAACTAAATACAAACAGCCTTAAAGGAGTCACATTTCTTGCTCAGGATGGAATATATTTCCTTCCACAGAAAAGCAGAGTTAACGGTATGACAGAGATACCAGAGCTATTAAAATAGGGTAGAAGAATCTTCCAGGAAACACAGAAAAGAGACTTCCTCTTTTTAGCAGTGAAGATGCAGGTTTATATTAGGGTCATACCAGGAAGTAGGGGAGCACAGGAAGCATCTTAGCCACACAGCCTTCATGGTGGTGGAATGTGATTCACGGCGACTGGAGGTAAAATTAGGTGGCTCTGGTCACCTGACCAGTTCCCTCAGAATTAAGCTTCTCTTAGCCTCTGCTTCTATCTGACCTTAGTGTGTCTTGAATTCAAAATTGGATTGGATTATTCTAATTGGCTTATTTACCATATATTGTGCAAAATTGGGCAGAGTTTCCATGCCCAGCCTACTAGGTCTAGCCCTCTGTCTATAGCATATTACTGGCCAGAGAAGCAGGGTCACATGGCACAAGGGCATGACAAACACTTAAGACTTTCACAGACCCTACCCAGAACGGAAAACATAGCACAAACAGATACACAGAAATTAATAAAGAGTTGTTTGTAGTATTAGCTAATGTCATGGCCCTCAAAGTGTAATCCTTGGATCAGTAGCAGTAGCCTCACAACACCTGGGAACTTGTTAGAAATGCAAATTCTCAGGCCTCACCCCAGGCTTACTGATTCAGAAACTTTGGGGGTGTGGCCCAGCAGTCCGTTTTAACAAGCCCATCAGGTTATCCTGATGCATGATCAAGTTAGAGCTTCAAATTAGGAAGGCAAAGACTTCAATGTGTACATCATGATAAATGTGTTTTGTGGCCTGCTCTGGGCTTTGGGGGCTTTTTTTTTCCTTTTTCAAATTCAAAAAAATTATTTTTAACTGTGGCAAAATACACATAAAACTTATAAGCCATTTTTAAGTATACAGCTCAGTAAATTTAAGTATATTCACATGTACTGAATCTATCTCCAGAACCTTTTAATCTTGCAAAACTGAAACTATGTGTTAAACAACTCTCTATTTCCCCTTCCTCCAGCCCTTGACAACCACCAATTTACTTTCAGTTTCCATGAGTTTGACCACTCTAGATACTGCACATAAGTGAAATCATGCAGTAGTTGTCTGTGACTGGCTTATTTCATGTAGCATAATGTCCTCCAGTTTCATTACTTGTAATATGTCAAAACGTTCATTTTAAGGCTAAATAACACTCTATTGCATGTATACACCACACTGTTTACAATTGCTTTGTCTGTCAGTGGATGTTTGGATTGCTCCCATCTTATGGATATTATGAATAACGCTGCTATGAACATTATGGTACAAATACCTCTTCAAGATCCTGCCTTCAATTCTTTTGGATATATACCCAAAAGTGGGATTTGTGGATCATATGATAATTCTATTTTTTATATTTGAGGAACCACCTACCTACCGTTTTCCATACAGCTGCACCATTTTACATTGGACACAAGGGTTCCGATTTCTCCACATCCTTGATAACCTTGTTATTTTCTGGTTTGGGGTTTTTTTTTTAATAGCAGTCATCCTAATGGGTGTGAAGTCCAGACACCTCATTGTGGCCTTGATTTGCATTTCTCTAATGATTAGTAATGTTGAGCACTTTTTCATATGTTTGTTGGCCATTTGTGTATCTTCTTTGGAGAAATGTCTATTCAAGTCCTTTGCCCATTTTTTTTCTTTTTGGGCCCCCACTTTTAAATCAAGTTACTTTGTTGTTGTTGCACTGTAGAAGTTCTTTTTATATTCTAGATATTAATCCATTCCCAGATATATGATTTGCAAGTATTTTTCCCCATTTCATAGATTGCCTTTTCACTCCATTAGTTGTGCCCTTTGGTGCACAGAAATTTTTAATTTTGATGTTGTCCAATGATCAATTTTAATTTTTGCTGCCTGTGCTTTTGGTATCATAGCCAAGAAATCATTGGAAGCTTTTCCCCCATTTTATAGTTTTAGGTCTTATGTTTGGATCTTTGATCTATTTGGTCATTTTTTTTATATGGTATAAGATAAGGGTCCAACCTCATCCTTTTCCATGGAGATATCCAGTTTTCCTAACACCGTCTGTTGAAAACATTGTCTTTTCCCTATTGCATGGTCTTGAAATCTTTGTTGAAAATCATTTGACCAGGGGCGCCTGGGTGGCTCAGTCGGTTAAGTGGCTGCCTTTGGCTCAGGTCATGATCCCAGAGTCCTGGGATCAAGCCCCGCATCGGGCTCCCTGCTCAGCAGGAAGCCTGCTTCTCCCTCTCCCACGCCCCCTGCTTGTGTTCCTGCTCTCGCTATCTCTCTCTGTCAAATAAATAAAATCTTTAAAAAAAAATAAAGAAAATCATTTGACCATATATGCAAGGGCTTATTTCTGGCTTCTCTATTCAATTCCATTACTCTATTCGTCTGTCCTTATTATAACCATTACCACCGTTTTGATTACTGTTGGTTTCATAGTAACTTCTGAAATCAGGAGTTATGAGACTTCCAACTTTGCTCTTCTACAAGATTGTTTTGGCTATTCTGCTCAGGAGGTTTTAATTATCTTCTAATTCCAACAGAAATTAGAAGATCTCACATGAAAATTGGGATTCTTTGTCTATTGAAAAAAATCAATAAATCCAGCAAATTCTGGCAACAAATAGCCAGAATTGTGAGTGACTATCATGTGCTCTCCAGGCTACTGTCTCCACCTACTCATTTATATAACCTGTCTGGTCCCTGAGGGCTCTTCTTTCTTTGAGACTTTGAGAATCCTGGTCTAAGGGAACGGCAGGCAGTTGGTGCCAGAGGGACCAACCTGGGAATACTGCAGTGGTCTGGTCCAGAGATTTGCTCAGAAGGAAAAGTACAGAATCCTAGGAGAGGGCATTGCTAGGAAACTTCATTTTGTTTTTTGGGGTTTTTTTTGGGGGGGGGACATAGGGTGAGAGTGGGGTTGGGAGGGGTGTGAGGAAAGGAAAATAAATCAAGCCCAGAAAGTTCAAAAGGAAACAGACAAGTGAAGGCTAGGGAAAAGAATATTCCAAACCTATGATCTACACTGAAAAAAAGAGCAATACACAAAAGCCCTACAGTGGGACTTAAGCACATTCTTCCAGGCATGATAGAAGTCCAGTGGAACTGAAGAGTAGACAGTGAAAGGAAATGGTGAGATCTGAGCAAGGATCAGATAGTAAACCATTTAGGAACTGTATGTGGGTTCACCCTATATTCAGTGAAAAAGCCCTAAAGATTTAGCCGGGGGAATAATATTATTTGATATTTGTTTCATTGGATGCTGTGGCTACTGTGAGGAAGAAAGGATGGGTGGGGTGGGGCAAGAACAGTAAGGGTGAGAGCAGTTAGGAGTATACTGATATAGTGCAAAGGATGTTGGCAGCCTGGACAAGAGGGAAAAGGTAGATAATTCAAGAGATGTTTTGGAGGCAGCATCAGTTGGACAAGACATTCTTCTCTGTAGGCAGACCTAGGTGAGATGCAAAATAATAAAAGTCACTTGGTGGGGATAGGAACAAAACCTAGTGAGCTAGGGGCGCCTGGCTGGCTCAGTCATTAAGTGTCTGCCTTCAGCTCAGGTCATGATCCCAGGGTCCCGGGATCAAGCCCTGCATTGGGCTCCCTGCTCAGCGGGAGCCTGCTTCTCCCTCTCCTACTCCCTCTGCTTGTGTTTCCTCTCTCGCTGTGTTTCTCTCTGTCAAATAAATAAATAAAATCTTAAAAAAAAAAAACCTAGTGAGCTATAAATTTAGTTGCATGTTTCCTATGTCCAAAATCTTCTTGGGATGCCTGGGTGGCTCAGTTGGTTAAGCAGCTGCCTTTAGCTCAGGTCATGATCCCAGAGCCCTGGGATTGAGTCCCGCATCACATCGGGCTCCTTGCTCAGGAGGGAGCCTGCTTTTCCCCCTGCTTGTGCTCTCATGCGTTCGCTCTCTCTCTCTCTCTGATAAATAAATAAATAAACAAACAAACAAATAAATAAAATATTAAAAATGAAAAAAAATCTCACTGCAGGCACCTACCACTCTGCCTGCTGGATTCCTCTGGACCCAGGAGCTTTCCTGAGTGCAAACACACCAGAAATGAGGGGAATCTATGCCCTTGGGAGCATTTGTGAAATGATGTAAAGAAGTGGATGGGTAAACTTGTTTCCTCACCTTGGGGTGAAACAACTTTGAAGTATGTACAATACTGTCTCCCAGAGGTTCTCCAGCAACACTAAGCCCCAGTTGCCCTGAGTGATAACCTGCACATTGACTTCCTTCCCATCCCAGTCTCGCTTCTC